TCGAAAGAGTTAACGTGCTAGCACGAGGAGTACGCACGGCGCGGCGCGTTGTCGTTTCTTAATTACGTGCGGTTGCTCTGTACGTACAAAACTGTGCGAGCGGCGTTTAGAGCTAGGAGAGACACGATCCAGCTGAATTAGAGAACTGCAGACTACGTGCGGCCGAAAGTCGACAGAAGCACCCTATGAATAGGTCGATAGCCACGCGTTGCCATTGCTTGGCTACGCGCAGTTTTTCTGTACGTAACAGTCTGTACGTTCTGCGCGTACGAGGGTTCAGAATAAACTAAGGCAGGGGACCAGACTTTAGGGGTCCTAAGTCCACTCGCTGCCGAATACCGTGCGTAGGTCAATAGTAGTCACGGATTGCCAAGTGTCAGCAACATGCAGCGTTTCAGTAATACGGTGCTTTCTATACGCGTGAAATCAACCTAACGCAACCCCGTACCTTCAGTGCCTCGCCTGCCTTCGAAGTCTGCCGCCAACCCCGAAGGTGGGCAGCGTCGCCGGGAGCGTCGCCCACTCGGCCGTTCGTAGCCATCAGGGCAATGGAACTGTCGTCAGCCATGGAGGCAGCCATCACAGCCACCATACCCAGCAGTCCCATCACACACACCAATCGCACCAGCCGAGTCACCACAGCCATCATAGCCACCACCACAGTCACCATGGAAGCCACCATGGCAGCCAGGCCAGCCACCACAGCCATGGAAGCCGTAGGAGCCAGGTGGGTAAAAAAGGCGAGGCGCGCATCCGTGACGCGCGTCCAAAAACCGCAACAGCTGGCTCTGACCGTACCGGGTGTCCCAAAAAATCTCCCACTCTAGCCGGCCGAACTCATGTCGGATTTTTAGGATATAGGTTTTGTATCGGAAGTTTTAGAAAAGGCCAGTCCAGCACGTTACTCCGATTTCCGTAATCCCGGAACTTTGTGTTGGAATGTCGGCATTTTTTTCCACTAAAAGGACAGGCTTTTTGGTAAAACTCACAAGGGAACCCTTTTGCTGACACGGTGGAATTTCGAGAAACGCTCGCGGCTACCCCTAGGTTTTCGACTATGGCGATTCCAACGCTCTAGTCAGAATTTCCTTAATGGGGCTCTGGACCGTGATACAGCACTTCCGGAAAATGATGATTTACATCCAAAAAATTAGCATTAGCGATAGGTTTATGAGGCTCTCCCATCACTATGGAATCACCAGTTGAATGGCCGAGTGGTAAGCGACTCACTTGATAGGATACTGACGAGGGTTTGAATCCGCTCGCAATTTTTTATTTTGCTTTTTGACCGGAACTTTCTGCCCAACTCTAACTTTTGGTTTTTACTATAAGAAAATTTTTTGGTTATGGCTCCAGGCTGATTACTCCAAAGAAGCCTCAAAACTCGCAAAATTATACAACAGCTGGGTCTGCCCATCTCCGTTTTTTACAAATGGGCCACTCTGTTGACTTGAGATATTTTTGAATTTTTTGGCTTTGCTAACGTTTTTAGGCATTTCAGAAACAGAATCACTAGAGGAAAAAAGTAATGAAAACTTGAGTTGGGCAGAAAGTTCCGGTCCAAAAGCAAAATAAAAAATTGCGAGCGGATTCAAAACCGTCAGACATCCATCGGGCGAGTCGCTTACCACCCGGCCATTCAACTGGTGATTCCATAGTCATGGGAGAGCCTCATAAACCGATCGCTAATGCTAATTTTTCCGATGTAAATCATCATTTTCCGGAAGTGCTGTATCACGGTCCAGAGCCCCATTAAGGAAATTCTGACTAGAGCGTTGGAATCGCCATAGTCGAAAACCTAGGGGTAGCCGCGAGCGTTTTTCGAAATTCCACCGTGCCAACTTGAGGTTCCCTTGTCAGTTTAAGCGGTATTCAAGCTGTGTTTTCGCAAACGGCTTGCAGAAGGCTGTCATCTCTAAATTGCGTTTTTTTTTTAAAAACCCAGCATCGTCAGAAAAACATCAGAAAACCCACCCGTTTCGCAAAAATATCAATAAAAGTTAGAAAGCGAGGAGAGACACTGGATCAGCAGAAATCAGCTCTTTTCACAGTTTTCCGTGATAAAAACGTACAGCTAAATCACTTGGTCTAGAAAACGAAAACTGCTCATGTTCTCGCCATTTCGAGAGCTTTCGATAAATACCTAAATCATAAAAATCGGACACGGCTGCAGACCTCTAGGGCGCGGGGGGGGGGTTTCACTCTGTAACTGATCAGTCACTGACCGTTGCACGCGACGCGTCCGTTACACAACCCTCCTCTCGCGACATTAACTGCATGATGCTCGTTTCAGACCAACACCGCCAAGTCCAGCAAGCGCTCGTCGGTCGACTCGCAGGCCACACTCACCAACAGCGCTGTCAACCACCACAATGGCCATGCCGACCATCAGCACCATGAGCACCACGAGCACCACGTTGAGCACCACCAGAAGCCGATGAGCCCGGCTTTTGAAGAGCCCGTTGTCACCGAGTACAAGGTATCGCCTATCCCATTAAGTGAAATACATGACGCCAGGTCCGCGCCGAGACCCACGTGCTGACCGATCTGGTTCCGCTGTCGCAGCGCCGTCAATTCTTCGAGTCCACCGATACGGTAAGGGGGGTTTTAATAACTTCATTGCTGTAGTTTTGAGCATTACGTGATTGGCGAAAAGACGCACCATTGACGGTTTTCATGGCGTAATCGGTTTCGCAATGATAGATTAGCAGTTTTCGGTCCATTTTGATCGAATTCAGGGGTTTTCAAAGCTTATTTTACACCTAATTTCGCGCAGGTCTCAAAATAAAGCATAGAATTTTGGCGCTTTGAATACATTTTTATGAATTTACCGTATTTTACCGTACGGCACTAGATTTCAAGTCGTAATCGATTGGAATGCTAAAAATTTGCCGTTCTCAAGCCATTTTTGGGTGAAATTCAACGTTTTCAAAACTTATTCTAGAGTGAATTTAGCGTAGATTTCAAATATTGCCTGGAATCCTTTTGAAATTACCGCTTCTCTTTGAAAAATTGTATTCTCTTTAGGAAATCAAGCGCAACTTCTCGATCAACCGCAAGAACGTCAAGCACGACCATTCGCCACCGATGGTCAATTTGCTCGCTTAACTCAATTTTTATCCGGATTTTATGCTTTTTTAATGTCTGGTAAAGCGAATAAGCCTTCTTACGGAGAGTACGATACCTTATTTTCCCTGTAATTATCGCCTAAATTATGAGTGTGCCATTACCGTTTCGATACGCTCCCATCCTGTAGTTTGTAGTCGTATATCGCTCACGCAAGACAACATTTGTATTTTTTTGCTACGGTAGTTGGTAGAATAAAAAGTTTAAAAAAGCCCTGACCTCAAAAAACCCCATTTAAATGCACTTAATTAAACTAGAAATTAATTAATAACTAACATTTATTCCATTACGCCACTATAACACACGTATCGACGCGGAAAATCACAACGTAGTGGGCTGAAAGAATTATTGATACCTTTAAAAATGTTAAAAAAATCACAAAAATGGATTCTGAAATGGTGCATTAAAGCAGGGCTTGCTAAAGTATATTTCTGCAGGTAATTCAAATTTGCATAATTATTTGGAAATGCAGAAATGCATGAATGAGATACGGTATACTGTCATTCCGGCAAATAGGGGGCAGCGAGCGAGGTATATTTTGGTGTGTGTGTGGCTGGCGGGTGGCAATTTTGGAAAAAAAACGAAAATTTGCTTGAAATATACAGCGTAGAAAGGAGAGAGAGAAAGAGAGAAAGAGAGAGAGAGCGAATGTGAGAGTGAATGGTCCTCTTTAAAAAGCTTGATACATATTGGGGGCTTGTTGTTGCTGTTGCGGAACGGAGTAGCCCAGCTAAAAAGTTATGCTAATTAAGTTATACATATTTAAAGGATATTAAATTTCGGTTCACCCTCTACTCCACTCGTTTCACTTTTCCACTCGTTTCACTTTTCGCGTCCGCGTTTCACTTTTCGCGTCCGCGTTTCACTTTTCGCGTCCGCGTTTCACTTTTCGCGTCCGCGTTTCACTTTTCGCGTCCGCGTTTCACTTTTCGCGTCCGCGTTTCACTTTTCGCGTCCGCGTTTCACTTTTCAAGTCGCGTTTCACTTTTCAAGTCGCGTTTTACCTTATTCTCAACATGGTCGACTCGGACATGTTTGATCCCGCTGAACAACAAGACCCCGCGCTCAATGTTGCCCTCAATTTCCTCAAAACGTTCATAGATTCCTCACCCAATTCCCCCGAATCGAAGGCCGAAGCTCTTGCATCGTTGGGAGTAATTACCTCCTTTCTTTCCGAGAGCCTAATTCGTGAGGCCAACAATGCCGCCGTGGCGGTTGTGGAGGAGAAGGAGCGGGCCAGGATCGCTGTCCTGGTTGGTGTTCGTGAATCCGAACTCGGCACTCCATCCGCTCGCAACTCTGATGACCTAAACTATGTCAGAGATCTCTCTGATAACATGGGTCTCACATCCACAATCTACGCCACGGAGAGGCTCGGTAAACGTGATCCAACGGGTGCCCGTCCGCGTCTTCTCAAAGCATTTTTCACGTCATCCACCTCTGCTTCCAGTTTTATACGTGTTTTCTCCTCTCATGGCCGCCGAAGCGATCTTTACAGAAACATCCGCGTCCGCCCCTCCCTCACCCTCGAACAGCGCAAGGAAGCCGCAGTCAAGCGTGAGCAGGCCCAAACTTTGACCACCCAGACCGGGAAGCAGCATGTGGTTTACGCCGGGACAGTTATGCTCAAGGACAACGTCAATCAGTTCAAACAAAATCAAGGAAAACACAAGGAGCAGGTCGTGTTTAACAATTTTTCTTCCACTTCTCTTCTCAATCACCACTCCTCGGCTTCTGCCCTGAAACGCAACCTTGCCCCCGCCAGCTCCGGCCTATCCCCGCCACAAAAGACCGCCGCGCGTGCGCCCTCCAACCCCGTCGCCCCACTTAACCACTAGGACAGCGCGCCGTTGCCCAAGCAGTCTAATAGCTTTTCCCCACCCGGTATCCATTGCTACTACTTAAACGCCCGTAGTCTCTGCAACAAAATTCTAGACCTCCGCGCTTTTTTGATTCTCGTTAAGCCAGATATCGTTGGACTTGCAGAAACCTGGTTATCTGACAAATTCACCGATCTCGACCTACTTTCCGACCTTCCTTATAAAATCGGCCGTCGCGATCGTCATTCGCGTGGCGGAGGCGTTGCCATCCTTTTACCGCGACTCTCTACCAATAGTTCAGGTCATCGCATCTAGCACCGCTGAGATTATTACCGCTGATATCTTCCTAAACAACACCACCCACAAATTTTCGGTATTTTATAGGCCTCCGAATAGTAAGAAAAAGAGCGACGATGCTTTTTTTGCCGATCTCTTAGATACTTTTGCGCACCCCGGCCCTTCCATCGCCGTCGGCGATAGGAACGCTAATTCTTGCCTAGCGGTTGCTCTCCCACATGCCCTGCGCACGCCCTGCTCCCAGCCGCTTCCCTCTCCCAATTAGTTTCCAAGCCAACCAATAGAAAAGGTACTCGTATTATCGACTGGGTTTTGACGCAAGACAACACCTTCTGTTCACAGGCTTCGGTATCACCCGCTTTCCTGCCCTCTGACCATCTGGCGCTCCATTTCGTACTTCATGCCTCCACCCTGCCCCCGCCGCCCCACTCCCAACCTCGTTACGCATACGCTAAAACCGATTTTTCCGCCCTTGGTAATTTCATTGAAAGTTTTGACTGGGATTCCGAGCTTTCGGATCACGCTAATTTGGACGAAATCTACGATCACTTTCTTAGCATAGTACGAACCGGCATTTCACTTTTCACCCCCATTGCCCTGTCCTCTGCTCCTGACAAACAACTGTTCCCTAGCCATATTCGTAAGCTCATTAGCCTTAAGGACAATCTATTTCGAAGATTAGACACCTCTCCCGGCTTACGTAAAAGTTACCTAAAACTATGCGAACGTGTTTCATTTAAGATCCGACGCTGGGAAGAATACAGACAACGTAAACTATTTAATTTCAAATTCGGCAAGCAACTTTTCGGCTTTCTAAAGAGTTTCCGTAAATCTTCCCCACGGTTTACTACACCATTACGCAAGCCCGGCTCTGTTTTGCCACTCATACTAGATAAAGACAAAAGCGAGCTCCTTGCCAACACGTTCCTTCAAGCCCACCGCAGCGTTGATACCAACCCTAGCCCGTTTTCGCCTATCCTCTCACTTTCCCAACGCACACATGGTCGTATCGGTAACTTTCTATTTCTACCGGGGGAAATCATGCACGAACTCAATCGATCCAAAGTCAGTTACTCTTTGCCTTCTGACGGGATTCCGCCAATCATTTACAAAAAATGTGCCCGCGCCTTTCATTACCACCGGCCCACATTTATAACTCTCGCTCCCACCTAGGAAAAATTGCCCGGTCCTCGGAAACTATCCCTTATCACCCCAATCCTTAAACCTTCCAAGTGCCCTAGTGACCCGGCATCTTATAGACCTATTTCCATCCTTCCCACCCCGTTGAAAATCATGGAAAGACTCGTAAAAAACCGTCTGTCTCCTTATTTGGAGCGTTTTAACTTGCTGCCCGAGCAACAGTTTGGCTTCAGGAGTCGTGCCTCGGTTGTTGATCAGCTTTTGGTTAGCCATGAAGAGTGGGGCGCGGCCCTCGAGGCAAAAAATTCAGTGGACATTGCCTATTTTGATTTTTCTAGGGCGTTCGATACTGTTGACTCCTCCTTGCTCCTTTCACGGTGTTTTGATTGTGGTATCTCGGGTCCACTCCTAAATTGGTTGCGTGATTACTTGCGTGGTCGTACTTTTAAAGTCCGGATAAACGATACATTTAGCTCCGCCTCTCCCGTCAATAGCGGCGTTCCGCAAGGTTCCGTTCTAGGCCCCCTTCTCTTCTCTATTTTCACAGCAGCGCTCCCATCTGCCCTCGCCCATCATCCCCGCGTTTCGATCAAAATGTTTGCTGATGACGTTAAACTGTACATTACTTATAACAGGAGCGATCAATCGCACGCGCACGAAATTTTTCAAAGTGCCATAGATAGTTTCTCTTCCTGGGCTTCTTCTAGTGGTCTATCTTTCTCGATTGAGAAATGCCATTTATTGTATCTTGGAGTTTCTAATCCCAAAAATGCTTACCTATTGGATGGCCACCAGCTTTCCAGTGTTCCGCAAATTAGAGATCTTGGCATCATCGTAACTGATAGACTTCTCAACAACCCGACCCTTGAACAGCGTTACCTTAAGGCGTCCCGTGCTATGTTTTCCCTACTCAGAAACTTAAAAATCCGTGATCCCCCATTGCTCGTCAAGTGTTTTAAGACCTATGTCCTGCCAATTGTCGAGTTCGCCTCGCCTATTTGGTCACCGCGGACCAAGGTCTGGTGCGACAAATTGGAAAAAATTCAGAAGACCTTTACACGAATAGTGTTCCAGCGCTGTAACCTCCCGCCCCAATCATATCCTGTTAGATTGGAGTACCTCAAACTTCATACTCTCCATCACAGACGCATAAGTAACGACCTCGCCCAAGGCTTTAAAATCCTCCATGGCCTCTGCCACGTCCCCCGGTCCTCTATTTTTACCTATAAAGTGGGTTTTGGTAGAAACAAGAGGCTGCTCTTCCAAGTTCCCAAAGCTAGAACTGAGTCCCGCAGATGCGCTTTCTCTTCCCGCATCACCCGGTGGTTCAACCTGCTACCTCCTCGCATCTTAGCACAGCGTAGCCCCCATTCTTTCCGGCAGTGTTTACGCAAGCTTGATCTACTTCAAATTCTTAAAATTGATCCCAAGACCTAGCTCACGACCAGCCACAATATCATCTCCTCTTGGTTCACCTCTAATCTTACGCCGCCTTGTCGGCCTCTTGCTTTAGAATGAACTCTACGCACAGCCGCACACCAACACCTTTTTCAAGCAACGGCTTCACCGCGGTCTTCCCCGTCCGTCAGCCCGTCACCACCTACACCAATGGCAGAATTTGTTTATCAATTTCCTTTCTGTATGCTGCCCTAAATACTTACCCCCGCCTATACCCTATCCATGTGACTTCTCCCCCAACTAAATCCTCAACGCTCGACTTCCCAGTAAGCAAAAAGTGATCTCACTAGCGGGATGCCCTACGGGGTAGTACCGCCATGCTGACAGGAGAACAGCCCAAGGATCGTCCACCTTATAAATCGTCACAAACCCCCCATCCGCCACCTTTTTTTTTTTTTTTTTTTTTTTTCTTTCTCAATGGTTCCTCCCCCCTTTTCTGTGATTTTTTTTACCTCGTTGCGTGTGCAACGGCGCCCTGTGCGCAGAATAAATAAATAAATAAAATAAATCACTATTACCTGCTCCAACTCGGCGTTCGTCAACAATTTGCATTTTCGCAACCGTTTCCATTCACCCGTGGAAAAGTCCATCTGAAATGGCGGTCTATGGGGGAGATAGAATGAGAGAGGGAGAGATCGAGAGAGAGAGCGCGAGAGAGAGCGAGAAAAGCGCGAGCTAATAAATGAAAGAGTGAGAGTAAAAGAGAGAGAGACCGCGAGAGACCGAGAGAGACCGAGAGCGATAGAGAGACCAAGAGAGACCGAGAGAGACCGAGAGCGATAGAGAGAGACCGAGAGAGACCGAGACAGACCGAGAGAGACCGAGAGCGATAGAGAGCGAGGGTGAGCGAGAGAGAGCGAGAGAGAGATCTAGTGAGAGATATTTAGTGAGAGAGCAAGAGAAAGCGCGCTTGAGCGAGAGAGAGCTAAATACATACCTGGAAGAACGTCTCAGCCCTCCATTTGGCTTGCATCCCATTCATCACGCCGTCTTCGATATTTTCCGACAGCTTGATGGTCAGGACCTGGCCAATGTCAGGGCGTGGGTTGACTAAAAATACGCTCATTAAATTCCTACAGTAATCCAGATAGAGCCTACAGCAATCCCAAAATCCCAATGATTTCGTTATGTACAAACCTTTATTCCCGCACATGAAGTCGACCACAATTTTTCGGCTATTCGCATCGAGGGAGTTGGCGGTGCGCAGCATTTCCTCGCATTGACGTCGGACGAGCTCGGTCTAGAAGTTTTAAATATTTTCCATTACTGCAAGGCTGTTTGGAGCATACCTTAACCGCCTTAATCTCTAAAAACCGATACCTTATCCATGGGCGGCTGCTCGGGCTGGCGTTGCACAGCTTGGCGGAGGAATTGGGGTTGTTGCTGTTGGGGCTGTTGGGCTTGAATTTGTCCTCCAGGTTGTTGCTGAACAGGGATCTGAAAAAGAACAGATTGGACAGAGAGAGCGAGAGAGAGCGAGCGAGCGAGAGTAAGAGAGATCACCAGAGAGTGTGAGAAAGGGAGTGAGAGGGTGGGAGAGAGACGTAGAGAGAGAGAGATAGAGAGAGAGAGAGAGAGAGAGAGAGAGAGTGAGAGAGAGAAAAAGTGCGAAGAAAGAAACCCTGAGCATCTACAGACCGTTCTTCTGACGTATATCGTCTGCCCATTCGGCGCTGTTTGTTGCTGAATGGTCTGGAACATCCGGGGTTGCGGCTGTTGCTGAACTTGTTGCTGCTGTTGTTGTTGTTGCTGGTGCTGTTGAGGCTGTTGTTGCTGAACGACTTGCTGCACCGGAACTGCTTGAACTTGTCGGGGCGGGGCTTGTTGGACGAGGACACGGATCGGCTAAAAAAAGTCGTCGGAAGCATTTCACAGGTATTGTGAAGTCGCGGTTCTCAGGTATAGAATTCTCACCTGTCCTTGCGCATTTAGAAGCCCTTGTCGTGGCGGTTGGTTCATATGAGTCAGGCGGAAGGCCGGAAGTTCTCCGGAGGAGCTGCGCTGCTAAAATAAAATTTTTAGGGTGCACTATGGTATTGGAAAAATATTTTGTATATTTAATGTTATTTATATAACTTTTGATAGTATTTTTGGGTATTTTATATCTTTTTAAATTACAGTATCCAAAATAACCTCTAACCTGCGAAATCTGGGCGGGTTGTTGCGGCTCTCTGACTTGTTGCTGGATGGGTTGGAAGAGGTGGGAGGTGATCTCGTTTTCAGGCTAAAAATGTCATACATTAATCTCATATATAAGAGCTTATTTTGCATATATAAATATTAAAGCTTTATTAAAGCGAAAGGCTCGTTTTAAACTGCTCAATGTATAAAATCACCTGTGACTCGGGCGCGGGCTGCCTTGGGACCTGGTTTAGGATACCGTAGATGCGCTAAAAAAAGTTTTTCACAATTTTTCGATGTTTCGATCACTAATTAAGTGGTTAGAGATCAAAGTTTAAACCCAAAGTTGAAGTTTTTGAAGTTTTTGAAGCCCACCTCGTCCACCGGGTTTTTCGGAGCCGGCCTGGTTTGTTGTGGAGGCGGTGGCGTCGGTACGACAGAAGCGAATAGACCGCCGGTATTGTAGGAAGGTGACTAAAGTCCATTCTTTTTGAATCGTCCAGTAAGCACAAAATCGACCCTTGCTACCGACTGGGTCTCGACAGCTACGCGCTGCGCCAAAAGACGTCAAGAATCACAACATTTTGCGTAAACCGAAGTTTTTACAGGCGATAAAAAGCATCTTGGTACGCGTGTTTTGACGCCACTGGTAGCTGTCGAGACCAAGTCAGGGCGAGAGGTCAATTCTGGCCCTTCCAAGCCTCTTTAAAGGGACTCGCAAGCCTTCTAATCCATAAATGGTCCGTTCGGCTTTCGGGACTGGAAGAGGAACCTATTTTTTCTGAGAAACTGATTTTTCTAATATTAATTTTCTAATAAAGGAAAGTGTTTAATTTTTGTAAACTGTTTTCTTACTCCTGTGAACTTAAAAACTGTATATGGTTTCGTTAAAAAGTACAAAATCGCCGAAAAAGTTTTTCTCGTATCTTGGTTTGCTTTTCGATTGAAAAGGTTTGTTTACCTTTTGTTTAAACCCTACTAAAATATTTGATAGATATTACTAGGCTTTCCTGGACTTAAAACCCCCTGATAATGTAAAAGAACCCATAACTATTCGCTCTAAACTGCTCTGACCTGCATGGGAGAAGCCGATGAAGCCGGGGAGAGTAGTGGCGAGGGCTGCGGCGCCACCTTTCGTTCCGAAGAAGTACTTGCAATTGGCTAAAATTTAGAAAATTCGGGTTTTTTAAGTTTTCCATGCCTGAAACAGTCCACCATGCGGAGAGTCTGGCGTGAGGGATCCCACTGCTTTTTCCGTCTCGTTTTGGATGGCTTCGTCGAACTAAAAACTTGTAAGCATCCAAAAGTTGAAGACTTACAATTGATCTGGGGATTGGGGCCGGTTCAACAGACACTTTGGGTGTTGGTTTTGGCGGTGGCGGAGGGGATTTGATGACGGCCTGGAAAATGGGTATTTAGATTTTTTTAATGGGCTTTTACCGATTTAGGGAAAATTGCTTCAGAATTAACAATTAAATTAACTACTTTTGTTAAATTTTTAAATTTCACCCCTTTAAATATTTACTTTTTAAGTCTAACGTTTCTACATATTTTTAATTGCGCATTTTTAATTTTTAAGCTCTTTTAGAATGTTATTTTTTTCATTTTTTTTAGCTACAGCCATACCTCAATGGTCTCATCCAGCGACGCCTGCGAGGTCACCGAATCGTTTCGAACCACCTGAACAGAAAGTTCAATATTTTTAGTAGCGTTTTATAATCGTCGACAATTAAACCGATGAATCCATCGTGGAATCAAAGCTAAATTCCACTAAAACTGTTCTTTAAAGCGTCAGAAACGCGAGAATCGATCCGTTTAATCGGCTAGGTTTTGAGATATACGTTCCACACCAAAAGGCACAACGTTTCGATTGTGTTTTTAGTGTCGACGCATGTCGCTGCCTTAAAGTATACTCAATATGTCAAAAATTACAAAAAAATTGCCGGCGACTCTGCGCGCGCTCGTAGCGATCGAGACCTAGCTTATGTAATGGATCGATTTTCATAGATTCCAGTTCCTTTAAAATTGTCCATACGTTAGATACGACCTCGACAAGTTAATCCCAAGCCCATACCTTATTGGCCTTGGCCTTCGATTGGGCTATCTTCTCCTGGCGCCTCTTCTCCGCCTCCAATCTCTCCGCTTCCCGCTTTTTCCGCATCTCCTCCTGCTTGGCTTCCTAATACATGGATCAACCATCAGAACCATGAATTCCATACCCTCAATGCTCGTTCCTGCTTCTTGGCTTCCTCTTTCTCTTCCGCTTTCCGCTTCCGCTCCTCCGCCAGAACGTCGCATTTCCGCTTCTTCAACGCTTGCGGGATTTCGTTGATGTCGAGCAGTTTTGCGCCGCCTTCTCTGAAAAGCACGTGGTTGTTACGATTGTTTGTGTAGGTTTTAGAGGGCCGTAACGGGGCTGACAATGCATGATGGTGGATTCTGTAATGTTTTCTCAACCGCGAAAGGACCCTTCCGACTTGCGACGTTCCGTTGCGTAATCCGTTACATTACATGTGTGAGCGTGCGCGTTGCGTATCGCGGGTGGGAGGAGGTGCGTTTTTTGAGCACTTGTTTGAGAGCGCGTGTCGCGAGTGGTATGTATTTTGTGCGTTGCGTGTCGCACATCGGAGATGCGTCGCGTGGTCCTACTGGCAGACGCGTCGCGGGTCACGGTACTTCTCCAGGCGAGTCTCATATGGCAGCGGCGTCGCGTCTCTTGACTCGTAAGCGCGTCGCGTGCCCCGTATGGCCGTCGCGTTGCGTTTAGCATGAGGCAGACATGTTGCGTGTAGCGTAGAGGCGCGTTGCGTGTTGCGTGCTCCGAACTTTTATGGAACTTCCAGCTTCAATAATTCATAGCGATACCTTTCTCGGCCCTTTAAAAGTCGAAACCCACTCACCGTTTCAACGCGGGCCGCTGGAACTTCTTGGGCTCGTTGGAAAAGCCGGCGGAGAGTTTGCACGTGTTTTGCACCATTCCACGCATTGGGACAGAAAAATTAGGTGTTTTTTAAGTTTAAAGGGCCATTGAAGTCAAATCCATAGCCAAAAAACGTAGATTTAAAAACCCACTATCTTCTCTGCCGATTCTGGCCGTCGATCGGACCTTGCAAATGGGGAGGCTGTGGACGGAGCCGAGTTTTTGATTTGCCGCCGGGTTGGCGGCTGCTTCGGCTTCTAAAATAGGTTTTTAGCCTTGCTTTACCTGTCGTAACCGGTTAAACAGCTGTTTTCTCAAATTGCAGCCATCAAAAACTTGCGAAAAAATTTCAAATTTATAACTTTTAGCTATAAAATCCGTGAATTTTTAGGTGTTTTTTTTGCGGCTGGAAAGAAATCTAGCTTGATTTTGGTCAAATTTCGTACTCTAGTTGCTTTAAAATGGTTAAAAAGAGCAAAAACTTTGGCAAAAACCCACGCTTCAACATCTCGATTTTCAACAAATGCGATTTTGGCTTCCGCTTCAGCGTAAAGTGCTTCTCGCACTCGAGCTCGCCGACGCCGAATTGTTGCTGCAAAATCGGGAAATAACAGGCGCTAGGATTATTTAAAAATGATTTAACTGCTAAGATCGATTTATACAAAACCATAAAAAACGTTTTATTAAATTCTACCAACTTTTAGCGCCGTTTCCGAGACGATCCGTGAGCTTGGAGGTAATAATCGGAGATCGCCGGCCTGGGCGTGGCGTTTCACTAAAAATACTTGGTTGTAAAAATGAAACCTCTATTCATAGAAAATATGCATAAAAATTTCTAACAACTTACTAATATTTTTCAGCTCTTGTAATGTAGTGGAATAGTGGCCCTCACCGGAAGCGGGTGCCTCAAAGGTGATACGACCAGTATTTGGGAGATCTCTGAAAATTACGGCATTAGAATAATTACTTAAATAAATAAATAAAATTATTGTTCTAGTTACGAAAAATATTAATCTGCGTGTATAAACAAGTTCTCAGCGGATTTTATGCTATATAAATTGTAAAATCGACGGTTTTACATCATTTGATGCGCTTAGAAGCTTCCTTTGCCTTTTTTGAAAGTGTATTTCAAGAAAAATGATATCTAAAGCCGATTAAAATATCTTAAAGCCAGATGCTACTTTTCTAAAAGCCTAATTACTAATATTAATGGAATAAAACCCACTTGATCAGCTCGGCAATTGCCTCAACCCAGTCGTCCGGATCCCGATGCCCCAAGTAGATCAACTGACACATTTCCTGTTTCCACTAAAAGCAACGTTTTTTAAAAGTTAAAAATTAAATTTACTCTTCTAAAGTAATTTCACTATTTAGAAAACGGTATCTAGGACAAAAATCACACAAAAACCCACATTTGCCATCAACCTCGGCTGCACGTGAAGAATTGCCGTCAGCAGCTTCACCTTGATGTTCGTCTCCAGGCGCTGAAAAAATCAAAATGCTTACTAGAGTAACTGTCTTAGTATAACGATCAGTTTTTAGGCGTTTTAATACAGAATTTAGGCTTATGAAACCATCGCCAACCTCGAGAACCCACAGAATTAATTCGGTATGTGCACCGGGCGGAACTGAGCACTGAATTCGCCGATGAACCTTTATTGGCCTTGCGCCAAGCCTTCCTATTTTATTCGGCACCCAAGACTAGGCGACGTCAGCGTTATTTACGGCTAACGTTGGTATTTTCCGCTGATCAAGTATGGTAGCTAGATTAAATTGAACTTGTTAATTTGAACCCAAAAATATCACGTGAAAAATTCTATCTAGATTATCGAAACTGGAATTTGCATAATAAACCGGGGGTTTTGATACCTAAGAATCCCTAACTATCCATTTTCAAAGCCTGCTTCTGCAAGTTTTCTTACCCCACGATTCCTGATCAATTCCTCCTTCATGGTCTTGGTCGTGAAAAATTTGGAACACTTCCAACGATAAAATCTACTGGCAAACAGTTTGTGTGGCAGATAGATTGTGTGAAATACCCGCGCCTTCATTTTTTATCCTATCGGCTAACCTCCCGTGAATTAACAACATACTGGAGGCGCCTTTCCATCGCTTTGCCGATGTTTCTCTATTTTTACACATCAGTCTGGGTTTGATATGACGCATCAGACTAGTCAATTGGGCGATTGGGTTCGGCTTTCCAGGAAAAGCTCAGTTATCAAGAGTATATGCATCTCTCTCTCTCTCTCTCTCTCTCTCTCTCTCCCCCTCCCTCCCTCTCTCTCGATAAGCCTATGATTACGATTTCAATCAGAAACACACGAAACCCCCCAAGATACCTATATTATCTATCTAACTGCCGTACCTGAAAGCACGTCTCCAACTCCTCGATCATCTCCTTGCTGAGAAAAGACGCTGCATTTCGTCCTCCCCATTCTTCAGAGTCCCCGAGCTTCTTCTCCAGCCAGTTTACCTAAAAATTCCTATGGAACAGAAAATTAATCGCGCTTGCTTTTTTAGGATTTCGATCAGCTTGATCCATTGATTTTTTTTTTAGAAATCTAGTAATCATTTCCACTCACCAAATCCGTGTCCTTCAACAAGGCGCCAGGCGCCGAGGCTGCCGTCCTCGGCGTAAAGCCCTCCATGTCTTCCCTTTTTTAGTGATACGGCTTTCACGTTTAATAGAGTAGCATCTAAACATTTTTAGTAGTTTAGAAGCTTTTTAAAATGAATAAAAAGAATAAGAAAATGCGGAGAAAAAGAAGGTATCTTGAGAACTGATATTTGAGAAAAACGGATGTGGAGCATCAGAATCTGAAAAACAAGCCTCCTTTTCGGGGATCAACAGGAAATATTTACACCCAGATCTATTTTTCTTAAACTGCTACTGTTATAAAAAACAATAAACAAGACGCATGACAATTTCCTCAAAAGCCCCTGCTAGTTTGCCCCGAGAGCTTCAAAAGGCCTAACCCTAGAATTCGGCCAGCCAATCGCTCGCTGATCAAGCCAATTACGATAGGTAATTTGGAGGCTTCACCACGTTCTCATGACTTTTTTTTACACAATATGCTGAAGAGTTCCTAAAAGGTTTCTGCTAGCTTGCTCAGAGAAAACAGCTTTGCCGTTGACGGAAGCGCCAACCAGTGACGCTAGGTTATTCACAAGCTTTTGGCATTCTCAAGGCTTTGGTCTGGCATTGCCAAAAGGTATGGAAATCACCCTTTCTTTCCACAAATTGTCTCTGCTAGCTTGCCCTTACATCATCAACATTAAGACGCTGTATCCTAGGTTCAGCCATCCAGTGACGTTATGGAAATCAGGAGGTTTCCGCTTTCTTTCGGGACTATTGTTCGTTTGAATTTACAGCAAGTCACACTATGAATCTTCCTTATTTTCACTCAAATGGTCTCTGCTAGCTTGCCTTGAAAGTCCATGCCAAAATAATGTGATCCACCCTAGGCATTTTCAAACAATAACGCTAGGTAATTCACGAGGATTGCGACTTTTGAACGTGCTTTTAGATGGATTTGACTGTATGGAACTAAATTCCCCAAGAATCCCTGCTAGCTTCTGCCTTGTTTTTGTAGGTTTTTCTTGAAAACACTAGCTTTGGCGCAATCAAATTCCTCTAGATCTCAGCTATTCAAGTCAAGAGCTAAAAAATTGACGCAAGAACCCGAATAAAACGGGTTTTTTTTGGTGGCCTGGGTCTAAGCTTAGGCTTAGCTTTAACGTTGCGTACGCTTGGCTTAGACTTAGCTTATGCCTAGGCTTGGCGTAGGCTTAAGCTTAGCTTAGGCCTGTGGAGCTTAGCCTTGGCTTCTAGCTTAGGCTTTAGTGTGTAGGCTACATTAGGTTTCGCCTAGCCTCTAGCTTAGACTTTAGCCTAGAGCTAGCTTAGGATTAGCTTAGACTTGGGCCAAGCCTAGGCTCGGCTTAGCTTTGGCTTAGGCTGGGCTTGGCTTGGTTAGCTTAGGCTTTGAGACAGGCTTAGGCCAGAAAAAGCCCCCAAAAAAGATGCCCCCCCAAACATCAATAGCTCCACGCCCTAAAACAACCAATGACGTTAAGAATCTTATTAGCGTTTTTATAAATCCAATTGATGGCCTGAAATGATGAGGGCGGGTAAAACAAGGGGGAAGGGGGAAACTGGCAATGTGCCGGGCGAGAGATACTGAGAATTGAGAGAGGGGAGAGAAAGAGGGGGATAGGGTGACATTTAGCGGGGGTTCCCCGAAGTTTTAATCCGATTCGCGTTCTCCAGGAATATCTTTGAGTTGACAAAATTTAGATATAAAAATTTGTCTAGTCCCGCTCATGTGTTTCTTAATATTTAGAATTAACTATATTTGGTTTAGTTTTGCGTTTAATCAGTTTGTGACGGGACGAGCGAACGAAACATTAGTCAAGTAGTTTAAGATTTAAATAAACCGAACAAATCTCCAATTTCTGTGTTTTTCAAAAGGATTAAATTTCTTTAGTTTACTTTTATGCGTTTTGCACCTAAAAACGATCCAATAAGATAAACTGGAGTGAAAAGTGGGTGGTAGTTAGGTGCGTTTCCTGAAAACCATCGACTAAAAATCTATTTATTTTGAAAAACAGCTGTGGCTAGTCGCCAAACGCTCAATCAATAACTTATTGTCGAAGTTTTGGATCGGGGTAAAATCCCAGAAATCAACGATCTAATCTTCTTCCGTAAATCCCGATTGCCGAGTCCGACGACAAAGGTGTTGAAGATTGGTTTGGCGGCGAAGAGGACGTATACGTAGAACTCGTAGCCACTGTAGATGTCTAGCTGAAAACAAAAAAAAACTCCGTTAAACTTCGATAAGATGTCTGAATTCCTGGAAAACCTTACATTTAACCATCGGCACCACTCCGGTATGAGGTTACAGATGACGGTGGCGAGGATTATAAGCCCTGAAAAAAAAACGAATAGGCGCTTGATGCTCGCCCAATAGAGAAATTTTGGCTTGCCGGACCAAAAGGTTTGCGTCGCGTATCGCGTTCTGGTGCCGCGTACGTTTTCCTTAGCTTTTTGCGGTACGCAACGCGGCCGCGGAGCCCGGACAAGTCCCAATTTTTTCGTGCCTTGGCGTCGTCGTAACTTACCTGTCCATTTTACAGCCAAGGCAAAACTGGCGTAGAAACGTCCGTTTTGTGTGTTTTGCTTGGCGTGGGCTTCGTAGACAAACTGGAATGAACGGTAGAGTGTTGTAAGTATTGTCTGATCGGTTCCACTTCAGATTTAGCAGTTTTCAGACTACAAAATTACTTAAACCTGCGGCTTGTTCTTCGGAAATTGATTTTCATATCTATTATACATCCGTTTTTCTCACCTTTCGGATTTGCAGAATTACAGGAATATAGCAAATCGCGCCTGTCGTTAGTACAACGAGGTTATTGGTGGAAAACGTGGCCCGGACTACGTTAGGATACGCCGATGACGAAAATACCTAAGAAAATTTCACTTTGAATAGGCCCGAGAATTGCGAGAATCAACGTCTTTTCTCGGCTAGGTCTCGACATTTCCGCGATGCACCAAACTTCGCTGGCTATTGCGTTTTTCTATGAATTTTAATTGATGGAAACATCCAAATAAAGTGATGTGATTTGGACTAACGCGCCGCTGTCGAGACCTAATGAAAATTGGGGGGTCGATTCTGGAGCTTTCTTACGGATGTAATTTAAAGGGATCAGCAAGGCAAGCTATCGATTTGCTGTAGATTCAGCCAGGCCCGCGGCATGAATAATGTAATCCAGAAGAGAAAAATCCATAGCTCTGTGTCTTGTCAGTCCCTTTAAACGACTCACTACCCGCTATTCCTACCATAGTCGTCATAAAGTCATTAACATTTGACCAATGGATGATAAAACATATAGACGTGATCGTGACAACGATGACAAGACCTTTAAAGCTATTAAAAATTCGAATATATACTAACAGAACATAAATCGATGAACATGGCGAGAGTTGAGGGTTTGGTAGAAGCTGGGGGCGACGACGAATAATAACTTCTCCAAGCCGATCAGGGCATCACAATACGGGATGAAGAGGTTCGCCCAGATCATGAGGGCGGGAAAATGGTGCGGAGACACCAGGACTGGGGCACGATTTTGGTATCTAGGAGGTGATTTAAAGAGGTATGGAAGGCAGAGAATCGAGCCTTGCCGTGACTTCGTGTCGAGAACTACGCACGACACCTATGGACATTAAGGTCAATTTTTGAGATAGATAGAGCGAGGGGGAGGGAGAGAGAGAGGGAGAGGGAGCGAAAGATCAAGAGCGTGAGAGAGATAGAGAGAAAGAGATAGAGAGAGAGAGAGAGAGGGAGAGAGAAAGAGACAGAGAGCGAGAGAGATTCTAGGGTTTCTAGCTCGATTAAAGTCCGTAGTACAGCTTACTCACCAAGCCCTGTCTGATAAATGATAATTTGATAAACACATGCCGCCACCATCATACCGGCGAAAAGGCCTTCTAAATGTCGCTTTTGTCACAGAGGAAAAAAATCGCGAATAGCTATTGAAGCGTAGCATTTTCTCTCACCAGAAATCAACAGATACAGTAGTAATGACAACGAAACGTCTTGGCGTAAAATTCGGAATCGTAGAATGACGATGACCATGAAAAGATTGAAGGCCATTACGGTTGTTGCTAAAGTGGTACTGGGGAGTTCTATACGAAAAGAAATATGTTTTAGAGGGACATGCAAGCTAGATTAGCAATTTTCCGCTGGCGACACGCAACGCGTATACCTCAATTCCCTTGCGTAACGGATTACGACCGCGGCGCGGGGTGCATTGCATGCGTGCGTTGCGTTGCGTGTCGCGGCGCGGTAGAATCCATGGGGAAACACTAACAAGGCATAAGCCATAGGCATATTGTAAAGCATAGTTCGCAGACCCCATAGCCTTAACTTATCCGTCCCTTTAGGTTGTGAGAAAGAAAAAGTAGGAAAATTGTAAAAGAAAATTAATACTAAATGAATGTATGGAAAGTTGTTTTAATTTTCCTCCATGGTCTCTGCTTGTTTAGCATTTTTGCGCTGAAAAACCCACCAATAATTCCCTCCAATATCATCGCTATCACCTCGCCTCTCATGTTTCAAAAGACGGTATAATTGATGGAAAAATATCTGTAAATAAGCCGTTTAGCCAATTTTCTGCCGGGTGCAAAATCAAGCTAGTCGGGCCTACTATACAATAAAATGACATTAAGCATCATTTTCTGCTAAAATTGTTGGGTCCAAATCCCGGGAAGCTAATCGCCAGTGGAGGTTGTGCTACCCCGCACTTTTTCCGCTATAACCCGGCTATTTCCAAAATTTAAACGTCATTCCTCTGGTGTGAGTAGTTCGGGGCTCACTTGTTACTTTGAGCCCGGAAAATAAGTTTATTGGATGGGTTTACACTATCGGAAAGGGTATATAATTTGCTCGCGTAACCGATAATTTTCTTCCCCTGAATTTGGTGTGATCTGTGCTTGAAATGGTTGTAAACGGACTGGCGTTCAGAATTTATTGGAGCGAAAATTTCCCCCATTAATCGCTTATGGCTCTAAAGCGTGCTCCAATGAAAAAAGCTCCCCTCTTAACTCGATGCAGAAGTATCAGATCGAAATGATAGCTACGTCATCCGATAGCCCTTGAAACGACGAGTCATTCTTCAAAATCAATCTTCAAAATCATGTTTTAGGTAAAGGCCCCTTTTTAGAAGCGACTTTGCAAGATTTTTCTGTTTTTCGGGGTTGGATTTCTCGCTATTTTGAGTTTCTCGCGTACCGGAACTAGGAAGTATCTAACAAATGACCAGAAGTAGCCGTTAATTAGATGCATGGCCGGTCCAAAATGTTTTTAACTACTCTATAAAAGGATGGGTTTGAATACAAACACGGTTTTGGATATGGCTGCAAGCTCGGCGTAGCAAGGGTTTTCGATTGGTGTAGCTTTCTTTCCGTTCCGATACTTCTGAGTCGAGTAAGAGGGGGTGTTTTTTGATTGGGACACCCTGTACGATCGGGCTATAACTCAGCATCGTGGTTATTTATGAGCAACTGTTCCAAATTTGGGACCGATTGGATGTAATGCGGCCAAATGCCATTTTTGGGTCACCTCGTATTAACAAAAGGCTTAGACTTAAAACCAAAAATTCATGCCCCGCCCCTCCCCCGGCTAAGCGTTCAGTACCATAATTTTTTTGGTCTGTGCATAAGAAATGAAATCGATATGTTTATTTCAATACAATTTCCAGGGGCAGCAAAAACATGGTTCAAAAACATAGCTTAAAAATATAATTCGAATAGATAAGGCAACATGGGGAGACACGATGCCGACTAGCGACAATAATCAGCATTGTAAAATTGTAAAATCATAAAAATACAAAAATATAAATTAAAACAAAATACAAAATCGGGAATTGCGTGCGGAAATGTGGGGAGAAAGGCGCTTTTGTTGAATTTTGGCAATGGGGCAACTCAGAAGGCGGGTGAGAAGTTGGTCAAGTGAATGATTTTTTATAAATAAGGCAAAAAGGCAGAAAATCGGAATTTCAAGGTATTATTCCTTTAAAATTTAAATAATTAGATTCATAAATTAACTGAGGGATCATTGCAAAGATTGTTCGCGCGGAGGAGCACCGTGATGTGCGGAAAGTTGCGGAATTTGAGAGGAGCAAATTTTTGGGAATCCCCTATGGATGCAAAAGAAGCTGTTCCCTTTTCATGGCGTAATAGGTTGTCTGAATTTTTTTTTCTCAGAAGAGGTGATAAGAAAGCTGAGCGAAATCCCAGAAAGCTATAGGATGGTGCACTTCCTCTTCGACTTGATCGGCTTGGGGTTGAGGACCGAACGGACAGCGTCTTCGAAAACCTAAAAAATCAGGAATTTTCTCTCTATCTCTCGCCCTTGCTATTCCTCTCCCGCTCTCTCTCTCACTCTCTCTCTCTCTCTCTTTCTTTCTCTCTCACTCGCTCTCTCTTACTCGCCTCTCACTCTCTCACTCGCTCTCTCTCTCTCTCTCTCACTAACTCTCTCTATCTATCTATCTCCCACTCTCTCGCTCTCTTATCTCGCTCTCAAATACCCTATATCCCCCTCAATTTCTATAATACTCCCTAACTCGCTCTCTCGCGCCTTCTCTCTCCCTCTGACGTTTCTTATGTTATCTCGCTTTCTGGCACCCCTGGCAGTCTCTCTCTCTCTCTCTCTCTCTCTCTCTCTCTCTCGTCTTCTCACACTCTGTCTAGCTCTCTCTTTCAAATCTCTTAGAAATTCCGATATTCCTATCGACAGTCCGTGCCTACCTGTCGAAGTCCATGCTGCGTCAATGCCGAGCACTCCAAGTAGCGCACAGCTTTGATCCGCTGGGCCACCTTCTGTCCCTGCGCCTTCAGAATCGGGCCCCGGGGATCGGCCGTGTGGTTCGGGTCGTCGCGCAAATCGATTTTCGTTCCTAAAATTTATCTATTTTCTTTGAATTTAGATTTCGTAGTCCAAATTACAGGCCAAAATTCAACGTTTTTAGCGGCGTCAGTTACAGTTGGAGTTGTAGGACGTGAAACCATGACTGGGTTTTGACTTTCAACGTACCAACGAGAAGAATCGGCGCATCCGGACAGTGGGCCCGGATCTCCGGAATCCACTTGGTGGTGACGTTGTCGAAAGAGACTGGCGAGACAACGGAGAAGCACAGCACAAACACGTCGGTTTGTGGGTAGGAGAGGGGCCGGAGGCGATCATAGTCTTCCTGGAATAAGTTAATATGATTTTTCAAGGTCGTTTTCACGTGAAAAATGACATTTGTGCACTGGTGGGTCGTGCTAAAAACCCAGTATATCCTGCTCTTTTTCAGACTCACCTGCCCAGCCGTATCCCAGAGCCCAAGGTTGACCAAATGCCCGTCAACCGTCATCTGGGCCGAGTAGTTGTCAAAGCTGAAATCGTTTCGGGGGTATAGACAATTTTTGCTGTGCAAATAACAGTCCAAAGCAGACCAGAAGTTCCGGTTTTGAGAAATCAGTAGCTGTAAAACTTACACGGTCGGCACATACTGCAACGGAAACGAGTCGGTGGTGTAGGAGATGAGCATGCAGGTCTTTCCGACTGTTCCATCACCCACCACCACACACTTGATCTGCCGCGATGGAACCGACATCGGCAACACTAAATTTGGATTTAAGAGTTGTGCATAACATTTTTCTTTTGGAAGAATCAGACGTGAAATGGAGTTGGCTTCGCGAAAAGGTCAAAACAGAAGCTCGAATAAGAAACTGATTCCGAATATATTAGGTTGGAACTAAAGTTCGCGCAATATTTTTCTTTCTTTGTAATTTTCGGACCGGAAAACGGGCAAGAACCAAAATGTTTTTTGGATGAACGGATATGCAATAAAATTCTCTATTCGATGTGTGGGACGGAATCGCGTTGCTTCCGTATTAAAATTTTTCAAGGCTAGATTTAAGCGAAAATGAAAAATCGCTTCGGCCCGCCTTTACAAACCAAATCTGGCTTCCTTTTTAGGCTAATTCGGCATGCAGCTGATAGATATAACTTATTATGATAGTGGTGATGAGTTCCTATGGTGCTTTATGGCGGTTCGGAAAGATGTCCGGGTCAAAAATTTGAAATGCCCTCGAGAGAAACGCAAAAATCTTCAAAACTACTGGGGCTAAAAACCTGTAATTTTGGTCCCACATACTCATGAACCCAATAGATAAATGCAAAGAGGGAACATCGGAATCTGGCCACTAAATTTTCAGAAAGAAATTTCCAAAGTTCGATTGCGCGAACTTATGTTCCAACCTAATACTTAACAAATTGCCAGATTCGGGAAGTTCCGAGGGTTATGAACGACGTCAACCGAGAAACTTCGAAAATGAGCCACTGGTGCTAATGAATTTAGGGGGGGGGGCGGTCCAGATTTTGACTACAAAATGCTCCAAATGCCGTTTTTTAAACTCGAAGTCTCTGGAAAAGCTAAGCTAAACCTAAGCCTAGGCCTAGCTTCATACAAACGAAGCCTGAGCTTAGCTTCAGCCAAGCTAAGCTTAGTACGAAGCCAACCCCTAAATGACCCCGTTTTGACCTCGTAAGGCAATTTGAAGCGCAAAATAAGCTTAGCTTGGGCATAGGCTTAACCCTAAGCCTAAGCTAGTCAGAGTTAAAGCTAAGTTAAGCGAAGGCTTAATCTAAAGCTGCTGTTACGTAAAAATTGTAATAATTCTTCGGCATTTTTCCGACAGCTTTTAGAAAATGTGATGCGGCTCGCAGATCGAGGAAGGTGAGTAAATCTGTTGTTTACAAAAATTTGCTTGCAATAAAATTGTGTAAAAGAGCATCATTTCAACATTTCGACGATGAGGAGGATGTTTGTCAAGGACGGAACTGTGAGTCATTGAACCCCCCAGCTGCCCCGGTCGGTGGCCTTTTCCCATGGGTGCAGCCGGTGTGGGCGTCGTTAGGAGCGCCGTGGAGCCGGACCGGCAAAATTTATGCATTGGCGATGCGATAGCTGCTTGTCAAGTCAAAAAAGTTGTATTACGGAGCCGCATATCGCGAGGAATTTCAGTTGGAGGAAAGTGAAGACCATGTAAAGGTTCTGTGATGATTCTGTGAGAAAGATCGAGCACTACTGGTGTCGGTAGAACTAGCGATTGTTGCACATCGCCTAGCCGGGTTACGGTATTTCCGGATAGCGTCTGTTTCGCAGGATTCGGCCACTTTTGCGGCTTAATTAACCAAACGCTTCAACCGCTATGCTTACAATGCGTGATCTTACTTGGTTTAGCTTGGCTTTGCTTATGCTTGGCTCAGCCCAGCCTTAAACTGAAGCTCAAACTTAGCTTAATTTGCCTTAGGGCTCAGAAAAGACTATAGGGCCTACAGATCTCTTTATTTTAGCCTGGTTGAGCCTTTACTTGGTTGACATGAAGCTAATTTCAGGCGTAGGCTTATGCCAGCCTAGCTTTTACATGGGCTTAGCAGCTGAAAAACGTAGTTGGAGCTGTGTTGAGCTGGTAATCAAAAATCATTCTCGCTGCCCGCCCCCTTTTGGCACCTAATGCGCCTGTATTGAAAGTGCAGAAAGACCTTGATGTCTATAGCTCCTCGATTGACCCCTATCGATCGGCCGTTGGCGCCAATCAATAGGGGTCAATAGAGCGGCTCGACATTTTTATGCCCAGACATTACCCTTTGCTACCGACTAGAAAATCAGCTCCAGTGAGCCGTTCTTCCTCGCAAATGCCGTACCGTTTCCGGATCGTCGATCCATTCAACTTTCCGGGGTTGTCAAAAGATCAGCGCTTGCATGTTGTTCGTCACCTGGCTCCGAGCAACTCGCTACAGCTTCTGAAGGTCAACCGCTCTTGCAGGTGCGTCTTTTCAAGGCTAACAAGCAGTCGTTTTTGGGTGATATTGGAGTTTTTGAGCGCGACCTAGCTAGTTCGATAGAGCAGAAATTCTGAGCAAAATTTCCTTTTCCAATTTTGCTAACCGTGCACGGTATTCGATAAAAAATAGATTGAAAATCATTAATCTAACCATCATTTTCCGTCAGATCCGCAGTTTCTGCACTCCAGGTGCGCCTAAACATCTCTCCCTTCAGGCTTATGTCCAGGGATGACCACATGGCAGATTGGTAGTGCGTTTGCTTCATAGGTTTTCATCGTTTTTGCCTACGGGTGAAACTCTTTTGCTTTTTTCTCTGTAATCCCAAATTCGATTTTAATAGCATTAAAAACCAAAAAGCAAAAAAAACAGTCAATCGTAAAGTTCCGAATCCTGAGCATCATTTTTGCAAAAGTTTGATAGGCGCCTGCACTATCCACTTGGCCACCATATCGTGCGGATGCTAGTTCGCGTTGAGGCCTAGGCTCCGGGCCTGGTCCAGCGCGGCAGCCTGGCACCAACGAATTTTTTATTAAAATTTAATTTTTACCGTGAACGGTACACGGGTGGCAGATTTGGAAAGCGACATCTTGGGCCGAATTTTTTCTGGCCGATTTAGCTAGGCCTCGCTCAAAAACTCCAATATCACCCAAAAACGACCTTTCTATGGGTGACACTTGGCATGCAACCAACGTTTAGGCAAACTATCGTCAAGTGCGGTCCCTTACCAAAGAAGATACGCCGGCTCACTTATTCGATCTTCACCCCAGATGAGGCCGTGGAAAGCAGGCTTTATCGACAGACAGTGGTGAGATAGTGTTATACCTCAGGATTTTGCTGAATTTCGTCGCAATGCAATTTCACAGGATTAGTCCGGTTAGGCAGCACGCAACGCAACGGAAATTTACCGGAACGCATCTCCATAAGCGTCTTTCCCGTACCTTTAAAGTATACATGGGCCGACGCTTGCATGCGCCGCATAAGCGTGGGTGGCCACGCTCTTCCGGAGCGTGGAGGACCACGCTTATGCGGCGCTTTATGCGTGCTCTTTCACGCGCGCGATTTAACTCCAGATGCAAATCAAAAATTGGAAAACCTTGATTTTGCATTTTTAGAAACTTTGCATAAGCGTTTCCGGAGCGTGGCGCGCCACGCTCATTTCGACGTGGTTTATTAAGAGGCACGCGCGCCAGCGTGGCTCTCCACGCTCCGGAAGAGCGTGGTCGGCCACGCTTATGCGGCGCATGCAAGCGTCGACCCATGTATACTTTAAAGCCCCTCTGACAGCGAAGGTTTAGATTCATGCGAAGCGCACGTTGATTACCGTGGAAATTGATGACGTTGAAGTTGTGTTGATCAGCCCCGACACAATACATCATCCAATATACAAAAAGTCAGTTTGTCGAAACAGTTAAAAGAATTCTATTACGGCGTCTCCTGAACTCAACCCCACAAACAGTTCCATTTTCAGCTGCAGCTACTTTCCTCACCTGTGTGGCGGGAGCCATGTATTTTTGCAACGGCTGCTATCATCCATCCGTTATCCGATGCGCTTGGAAATTATCGTTTCTGAGTTAACACACACTATTATGAGGCGGCGTCACAGTGCATCGTCATTGCCACAATGGGTACTTTTGTCTGTTATTTTGTCGGCTTCGGCTATGGTACTTTGGGAGTCGGAGGAGGGGCGCTCTCCGGGAGAAGCCTAGTTTTTGATAACCGATGCTTCTATACACTGTTTTTAACATTTTCCGATCACATAAACGTACACGTTGGCATGCTAATTTTAATTTATATCTTAAATGAGGTTTTCTATCGAATTTACGAAGGTTCCCAACTTTTCGACTTTTTCAACCACGTTTCTAATTATTTAAAAGGTTTTTCTACTTCAAAAATAGCTAACACTTGCCAAACACAATAGAAAAACACTCAACATGCGATTATTAGGTCAACCTAGCCCGCCAGGAAAAAAACTTGATCTCTGCGTGGATCCCAAACAGAGCGCCGGCTATTTAATCCAAATAGCGAAAATATTTTTTATTTAGCATAACATCGACCGTTCCATCAGCGACCACTTCCGGCTAGGGGCCGCAGCCGTAAAGATGGTGGCACGCCCGGGAACACGCACGCTTGACTTGACGTCGGAGGCGGTGAGCATTGGCGCAACAGGGCGTCGTAGATTTTGACTTCATTGCCCCTTAAAGAGGCAATGAACAAATAGAACAGTCTACGCGAGACCTCCC